TCTAGAATTTGCTTTGTTATGTATATCAAGACCACATTCCTGAATTTGATGCATTAAAATGACAAGGGCACTTAGGTTAACCATTTTTTTCTTTTTGGCTTTCTAAAGACCAACCCTAAGCAAACCTCCCTTAGTTGACCATGGTTGAGTCTAGACCTTTTCTTTGTTTAATAACCCATTTGGTCACCTCTAAACCTTTTGTGTTCGACTCTCTTTGCTTCTACCCCATGTCAAAGGAATACCTTGATTTCAGTGCATGATTATTTAGAATTGGATTGAAAGAGGATGATTGAAGTGAGCAAGTGTGTCTATATCCCCATGTAGCTGGGCGTATGTGAAACAAAAAAAAAAGATGGGGAGAAGAAAATAAAAAGGGGGAAAGAGAAGAAAAGTAGCACACCTCAAATGAAAAAAAAAGAAAGAAGAGAAAACAAAAGAAAGAAAAAAAAAAGAGGTATGAAATGCTATTGTCAACATGTGTGCTGTTGAGATAATTGGGTGAAACCCCTGGTTGTGCTGGCACTTGCTAAGTTTTGGAAAAATATATGGGTATGCTTTGGAAAGATCATTGGAATGACGAAGAAAATTGAAATTCATGCAGTGGGTCAATGGTATTTTCTTTGACATAATTAGCCTAAATTACCTGTTTGATCCTACCCGAGCCTAAACCCCATTACGACCCGCATCAAGACCCTTTGATTTTTGTGTTAAATTTGGTTTCAGTGGTGGCGATGTGATATATTAGCAAGCATATGGTAACATCATTTTCTTATGTGGTGAGAGTGACCCCTTGTGTTTCATGTCAATACGGTGAGTAGTCATATACCATCCTATAAGAGAGTGTTAAGTCTTGCAATTTCTGAATTCGATAACATTTTTAGGAAGATAAAACACTAGCACTCGCATGTTGGACTGCTGCAGGTGTGTAGCTGTAATTATATCTCTGAGGTTTGAGATGCTTGAGGACAAGCATTGTCTTGGTGTGAGGGGATTTGATAGGGAGATAATTGTGCGCTTTATTCGTTGATGTTTGGTCTTGATTTTGTTCAATTATTGTACAGAGTGATGGGTTTCTGCTCATATTTGATATTTGTGTTATTTTCAGGCGATTGGTATTAAAAGTAACAAAAAGAGTCAAAATTCCAGAAGACTAGTCATTCCAAAGTGTGCCCACGCCAGAGATCGTAAAGCTGCGTGAAAAAGACGGACCGCGCGACCCTACTCCCGGGAGGCTGCCGAAATTCTTGGGAGATGTGATTGTATCTGCGTGGGATCAAGAAACCTATTCAAAGGAGACCTTTTGGCAACAACTCAAGAAGGAAAAAATAAGGAAGCTACTAGAAGGAAAACAAACTCTTGTTTTGGGAAAAAGAGAGGCGGCATCAAGAAACTTTAAATAGAAGACCGCAATAGACTAGGTTTTTTGTCTTTATCTTGGGACCTTTTATCTTGTTCACTTTTATCTACGTTTTGCCTTTTCTTCTGAATTCGGATACTTCATCACACTCTTTGGGGAGAATGGCTGCGGCAATAAATTCCAATATTTCGCGCATGGTTTTTTCCATGGAGATGAACTAAGCTTTCTTAGTCGAAGGTCAATTTGAGGACTCGGTTTCAAACATTTGTGAGATGACTTAATTTTATTTATTTCTTTTATTCATTGGTATTTGTACGTTTCTTGATTTAATTGCTTAAGCTTGTTATGTTATTTGAATGTCAAGGGCCCGATATTCGAATTAACTTAATGATCCAATGCCAAATTAATTGATTGAATCCGTAATTGTTCAATTGATTAATACCAGTGGCAACTAGTGTGATTGGTTTCGTGTTAAGGAAACGTATGATCTAATTTAAATAAACCCTCCTAGCGTGTTTGTTGGCTAGGGTTGGGCTTTTCTAATTATTAATGCAATCGAGGAATTAAATTCTATGGTCTTACCGAGGGTCGTTTCTTAGTTAGAGAAATAGTCAACAGTCGTACCTTGGCTATCGATAAAGTAAGAAAAAGTTGGTTATCAGAGCTTGTTGATGGCTATAACTAATCCAGTAATGAGTAATTGAATTATCTTTGCATCGATGATCAGTTGAATGGACTATGTCTGAAAAGTTGCACCTTTGGTTAGAGCCATATTAGCTATTGATTAATTTTTGTTTAATTCTATTAGTAGTTTCATTAGTTAGTTAATTAATTATTTTAGGGCAGAAAACCTGAGTGGCCATTAAACTATTGTTAGGATCATATTTTGGCCATCAAACTATTTTTCGTCAATAATTGACCACTAAACAACTTAATCAGTAAATTCGTACCCATTTCGTCGGTAATGGCTCTTAATTTCTGAAATTATGATTACACGTGGCAAACCACAGGGGCAATTTTGTCCAACAATTTATTGACCGTTTACTCATATTAAACCCATCAACTGAAAAGAAAAAAAAAGCTGTACACGTCAAGGGTGCATGGATCACTAAGTATACATAAACCCGCAATTTACATCATCACATTTCACAAAAGCAAATCCAACCAATCTCCCAAACCTCACTCCAGACCCAGAGTCATTATAGTTGGAATTCTCAAAATGCCCCATCCCGACCTCACTCTTTTTCCTTCCCTTCATGCTTCCGTACTGCCGCCGCTGCCAAGACGGTCCTTTCTGCCAATCCTAATCTCACCACCTCCCTCTATCAAACTCAACAAGGCCTCTTTGGCCTCACCTGGTCCAAAGGCCCATTCGGCACTTGTTCCCTCCACATCTACCTCCTCCTCGACAACCACCACCTTTCTTTTCCACCGTCCCCTTCCTTCCACCTTCAATTCAATCCGTGCTTTACCTTCTGGAAGAAATGAGGATCCAAAACACTTGTTGGTCTTCCAAATACTAGCTCTACTATTGATCGGGTGTTCTGGGTCTTTCCCGGGCCAAATTCGGATCGAGACCCGACCCCGCATCCGGTTATTATGTCGCAATTTTCATCGGGGGAGAAATGACGCTCCTTGTTGGGGAGGAGCTGCTACCGCTATGCCAACTCCCAAGGAGCATCGCCGGAAGCGGAGGAGGCGCTGCCAGTGCTAGGCCAACTCCTAAGGAGACGGCGGCTGCCGAGATCAGAAACCAGGTAATGGTTTTAAGAAGAGAGCACGTTTATGACAACAAGAAAAGATTACATTACACCACCAGAGCTAATATTGGAGGCGGCCAACAAGAAGTAGATGTATCGATTGATTACTGGGCTATCGGAGGTGAAGGTGGCCCCACATTGTGCTTTTTTTCTTTTCAGTTGATGGGTTTAATGTAAGTGAACGGTCAGTAAATTGTTGGACAAAATTGCCCCTATGGTTTGCCACGTGTAATGCTAATTTCAGAAACTAAGAGCCATTACCGACGAAATGGGCACGGGTTTACTGATTAAGTTGTTTAGTGGTCAATTATTGACGAAAAATAGTTCGATGGCCAAAACATGATCCTGACAATAGTTTAATGGCCGCTCAGGTTTTTTGCCCATTATTTTATATTCTCCAAAAATCCCCCAAACTTCGGACTCTAGAAGAAACAAATTATCCCCAATCCCTGTGGATTCGACCCTACTCACCGCTATATACAAAATTTGTATTTTTTTCGAGTAGGTATATATTATTGCACAGGCTCGACACCTGTCAAAAACCTACAAAATTATGAAGTTTTCACCACTTAAATCCATATAAATGCAATGTTTCACACTTAAACCAAAAAATGCAAATTTTCACTAGAAATCTAGTTAATTAGTTTAAAAATGACTAAAACGCTCCAAAATTAAATAATAAAAAATGCACAAAATACGCACTTATCAATCTTCTTTCACTTAATAAAATGTCAAAGTTGTCATAACTACTCTTGGAGTGTAAACAACACTAGTTACCTATGAAATTTGAAAATTAGAGTTTGAATTAATTCAATTCAATGTCCTAGAATTTTTAGATTCATTTTTAAATGATGATGATATTCTTGTCCAAAATTATATGATAGTCCACCTTGTATGTACCTTTTTGTTCCTCCTGATTTTAGCATTTTAAAAACGAACGCTAATGCGACGAATCCATGTCTATTTATCCATCCAAATAAATCTAAGTAGATTTCGATGACTAAAAGATACATAATATTTTTAAATGGATGACTATTTATAACCAATTACATTGGTGGACTTAAGTGCATTATCCATGTCATCCACGTAAATCCATTATCAATGAACAATAGAATCACACTAGATCGTGCCAATGGTTTTACAGTTGAATTTGTTGCCATAAGGCCGACAGTTAATTTTCACATAACCCTTTATAGTTTTAAAAACTACATATAATCCAATTGTAATTTGGATTAAAGTGTCAAACTAACGAAAATGATCATTCGTAACGGAACCTATGAAAATATCGAAATTACTTTAGTTTAAAAATTAAAATTATTGAAGTGGCCAAAATATATAAACATAATATGCATGACAATCTAATCCCGTATGATTTTAATCCCTCCCTCTCTAGCTCTTACAACCATGTTCCCTCATCGGCTCATCCCACTTTTAACAATTTCTTTTCACGAAACCATCTATATTTCCAGTCACTGCTTTCTATATTGCCAGTCATTGCTATCAATGCAGTAGGGTTGTTGGTGAGCCGAGCTACTCGCGAGTAGCTCGCGAGTAGCTCGGTCAACAACTCGACTCGAACTCGGGTTGACCGAGTTCGAGTCGAGTTTCGAGTAGCTCGACTCCTAATCGAGTCGATCTTCGAGCCGTATATTCCGAGCTCGTGGCTCGTCGAGTAGCTCGACGAGCCGGCATTAATTAAATAAAATATTTATAATTTAAATAATATATATTTATTATAATTATAAAATGACGATTATGGGTATAAGATATATGGAATTTACAATATTACCTTCTTTATAATAAAATCCTATAATGGCAAAAAAGTAATAACATAATTATAAAAAACACTAAAAAGAAAAAATGTCAAAAAAAAAAGGAAGCCTTTCTTCCTTCTCTGTGCCGACTGTGCGACTTTCTTCTCTGTTCGAAGAAAGCCTAGCAAAAAAATTCACTTACCAGCCGGCAGCTGACTCTGACTGATTTAGATCTACACCCTCACTCCGTTCGTCGCCGACGCCGTTGCTCGCCGCATCTGTGAGACTCCATCGCCATCGCCATCGCCTTAACAAGTCCCAAGTCCCAAATCGAAGCTGCTCTCTGCCTCTCCGGCCTCCGCCAGTCCGCCGCGCTCTACGTCTCCTGTCGGCTGTGTCCTGCCGTGCTGGTTCATCGCTGCCGAGTGTCGAAGACGAAGCACCAAGATCTCACTAGTTCATCGCTGGTTCATCAGTGCTCATCTCTGGCTCACTTAGGTAAGTGCTCCTCTGTTTTTGGCTCTGTGTCTCTGGCATTAAAATGGGCCAAGATCGACTAGGAAACTTGTTATCCTGAATTGATAAGGGAACGAAATCTGAGCTTCCAATTGCAAACTCTAACTGTTGTAGTAGTTTAGATTAGGTGTGATATAACATAAGCTTTGTATTTTATACACAAGAAGCTCTCTCCAGTTGTGCAGCCTTTAAAAGTTAAGGCCTTGGGGAAAAATTCCACCTTTTACCCGTTAGAAAGATTCATTCATTCTGTTCTTCCTATGGTGGTGTCAGAGTTTCAAGAATGTATAATTGTAAATTTATTTCTTTAGTACCGTCACCGAAGCTTTACTTTTTTGGTCGATTGATTTATATATATATATATATATATATATTAGGAGCAATAAATTAATGGAATTTATTAAGAAGTAGGAACTCAGTAGCTGGTGTAGTGTATCGGATGAACTCCTACGAAGTTGCTCAGGAACTTAAAACTAACTAAGATCAGCAGCAGCCCCCATGCAGATGAATCAATGACATAAAAGGGGAACAAATTTATAACTTGAATTCCAGTATGAAATATATGCACAAACTGCAGGAAGAAGCTTTTCCTTTTTCTCTTGGTTCTTTGTTTTTGTCTTTGTTCTCCTCAAACCAATGCACCTGCAGTCGGAACTCAGAATCGTGGAAAGCTGATGGATCATATGGTGTGAACTTGTGAACGAAAAGCGGGTGTCAAGATGAATCAATTCCCAATTTTTTGCTCCTTCTTCAAAAGTCAAAATCATCTAATAAATACTAAGAAAGTAGAAATCTAGAAAAAGCACCCACCATAGCATATGCTTAGGTAGACTTTATGGACTTGCATGTCCTGTGGCTCTGTCTGATTACTCCACAAAAGATGAAAAAACTAATCAATACACAAATATTTTTCGTTTCTAATTAATTCTCTACAAACTTTACTTCAATTCTGTGGGCGCTCAAGAAGCGCCAAATACCTGATGCAGATTTAGGAATCGTGCAATATTTATGTAAATAATTTTAATTTGTGCTCTTCAAAAAATCAGACTTAGGATAATGGTGTGCAAAAATATAGCTAAGACTGACTTCAAAATCCTTTGTGTTATGATTTGACCAACTAGGTGTGATGAATTTGCCCAAATTCGGATTTGAGCAACCTCACATGCTTATTCTTTTTCTTTTTCTGCTCCTTCTTAGACCACACTTTGCTGTTTTGGATGTCTTACTACCTTCATGCCTTCTGAATCCAGTCGGGCAGAATCTTTGTCAAGAAAATGCAAAGTGGCACTAGACATTCAACGAGTAGCTCAAGATTAGAAGGCAATGTCGAAGGAGTTGGTAAGCTAAATGTATAATATGTTGGGCAGTTTTTTTGAGGTGATATGCTGGTACTAATGAATGTACTTCTATATTTGAGTTATTGAGTATAAGTTAATTTATTCTTTTGGGAAGTTATGTAACTTTTTTTGTGTTTTTACCTCTATGCTTTTTGTAGGAAGCCAAGACAATCAAACAATTCGACTTGCCAAAGCTTTGAAGATTTATGTTTCTAAATCTAGATTAGCTCATTATTTGGACCTTGTTAATTTATGAGACGTAACTTATTATGTATTGTGGAGTATGTTTATATTTTAAAGCCTTTTTCTTTCATTTGCTGTATGACTATTGTGTGAGCAGGCTGGCCGCTGGTTAATGACATGTTAATGTGTAGGATAAATGTCTAGAAAACTTGTTTTTTGAGTGTGTCGTGTGTGGTATAAGGTTCAGAGGTTTTGCTTGTGGGTCCAATTCTTTTGCTCTTTCCTCTGTTTAAAATGACAGCCTGGAAAGAGCTGTTGCAATTTGCTGTAAAAGGCTCCAGCCTCTGGGATTGCATTTTAATGGTGGTATTGAGGTCATCTTTGCTGGGTCAGGTTAGTGACAAGAGTTTTCAACTTCATTCTTCTATATCCTGTTCAAACACTTGTAATTCTGCTGGACTATGGTCCATTTCTGAACCAGGAACATATTTTTCTGACATGTTCTTGTTTAAAGCAGCTTTCTTTAGTTAGTAATTAGTGATATTTGTGGGGAAAAGGAATTTCTGGATAGATCTTGGCATTGGTTTTTGAATTGAGCTTGTGGTAGTTGGGATATTGTGGCTGTTTGAGATAATTGTTTATCTCTCAATTTGGTGGCTCAGCTCATGTTTTGCTGAGTTTTGAAATTTTGTGGGGAATTTTGGTTAGTTTGGGTACTTTTGCAGCACACTTAGGAACTATGATCCGAGGAATTAGAATCATCCATATTTTCTGCTCTTGTGGCCACCTACCGTTGGTGGGTAATTGCTGAATTTGAAAGTTTCATGTCAAGCAATCCAGCAAGTGGGAATTTCCCTTTTTTCTTCTCTATTCTTCTTTGTGGTGAATCTGATTTTTAGGGGTGTTAAAGATGCTAACTGTGGGAGGTAGAATGTGGATACTTTTAGTTGTATTTGTATTGATGAATCATGGATTTTATGCCTCATTTACTCCAGCTGATAGCTACTTGCTTGCCTTTGAATCTTCCCAAAACATCACCTTTGATCTGTTTTTTTCGCCAAATCGAGTCAAAAAGCTTGATAAGACTCGACTTGATAAGGCTCGATTAAAGATCGAGCCTTATCGAGTCGAGTCTCGAGCCTAAGGAAATTCTTCGAGTCGATCTTTCGAGTATCGATTTTTGGGCTCGAACGAGCTCGAGTCGAGCTCGAGCTTCTGTGTGTATGAGTCGAGTCGAGCTCGAGTATAGCACTACTCGAGCTCGACTCGGCTCGATTACATCCCTACAATGCAGCATAGATGACATAACTTGTTATGGTACTTTATCATTGCTTTTAAATTAAGCTATTGACAGCGTTGGCGCGAGAGAGGGTGGTTTCTAACCAATTATTAATTTAATAACTAGGAATAGAATAAATTAAAGAGAGAGAGAGAGAGATAGATATTGTACGAACAAAGAGATATTGTACGGACTGTAACTAAAAAACAGCGTACAGTATGAATTACAAAAGAGTATAGTAGAGTGTACAGGAATCTCGTTAGTCCTAGGATTAATAAATCGTCAAATGAATGGATTATTGTTTTGCACTATCCATCTAAATCTAAGCTCTTTGTATCCATTTATTAAATGCTTATAATTGGATTGGATTAAACTGGTCGGCTATTCATCTGACAAGATCCTTCTATCAATCATTTGTCCATTTTGCCGCTTGTAGACAAAAGGAATTTATCCCGAAACCAAAATAATATCAGGGTAACTTAATCACACCATATTCGAACAGTGAACAAGCAAATCTGTTCAGAGACATTGGTACCCTGATGGATAGGTCTTGCCACAGCCATTCACAATCGTTGTAACGGTAGCTGTGAGATCCAGGGTGAGGAGGCTCCGAGTTTTCAAGTAGGCGCAAAGGCAAGCAGCTGCGTCGAGGTCAACAAGGTCACTAAAGCAACCGCAGCATGGACTACCTATATCTATGATGGGGACCCCCAGCAAAGCAAGGCATACAGTCAAGTCCACGACAGATGTGCAAGCAGCGAGGATCGTGGCACTGACCTGAGTGAAAAAGATAAGGTTAAAGGCAAGAAAGAGAGCTAGGGTGCTTGTGGAGGCCTTGGAACCCATATTCTCAAAAGTATTGTTGGTTTAGTCAAGAAAGAAGGGCTTTTGTTGTGCAATGTTTTGGTAGAAGTTGAGGGTTTTTATAGTGAAGTGAGCAAGGCGGGTCAACTTTCTTGGTTTCGCGGCAATGATGGAGCTGGGGAGGGCGGTTTTTGGGTGGGCTGGGGTTGGGGGGGGGGGTGCTGAGGGTGGCTACGGCCCCCCTAAGTTTTGAAAACCTTAATTCATAATATATAAATATATGTGTAAAGCAAAATTGGCCTTTAAATTTATGTTTTATTGTGCTAATTATTTAACATTCAAAAAATTAAATATATAATTTGATTATCCATAGTAAATTGACCCAATTTGACATACTATAATAAAAAGGTTTGTGACATAAAATATTTAATCAAAGGTTATTTCTTGTCTTAATTTTTATTTTCTTTATAATTAAATTTAATATTTGATATTTTTAGATTTCATATATTTAAATAGATGAAAATTATTTTAAACATAATATATTAAGATACTTTTGTTAGGAAAAATTTTGATCCCCCTAGGAAAAAAATCTTGGCTCTGTCACTATTAGCTGGCAACTCAAGCATAGGTTGGCAAACCCATTGGATGAGTGAATAAGAGGTGTCGAAATTGCATGTTGCCATTAGAGGTGGGTACGGATCGGGTACTCATCTCATGCACCATTTTCTAACCCTTACTTGCCTCGCATATCAACGAGTATCCGATAATTGGGCACTCGCTGAGATAAGGTCGAGTCAACGGGTACCCGTCTAGCCCCACTTATCATTTGATTTTTTAAAAAACATGATTTATACTAATTTAATTTTGTATATTATATATTCATTTAAGATTTAATAAAAAAAATTTCTCAAAAAAAATCTTCCACTAAGAAACAAGTATTCTCAAAAAAAATCTTCCACAAAGAAACAAACATTCAAAGAGAACACAAGAAAAAGCGAAAAACTTAAAAGAATTCAAAATCAATGCAAATTTGAAATAAGTAGTAGCTTTTTTTATGAATATACATATTCCACATTAATTAAACTTTTTTCTAAAAAATATAAAATCATAGCAACAAATTTTATAAACAAACTATAGTCTCCCATTTTTTGTAATGCAATTTGTTTAGTGGAATTACTTATTTAGCTCTGAAAATATTATTTTGTAATATGTGTATAAAAATAAAAATAAAAATTATATATGCAAGGCTGGGTGGGTACCTTCAGGTTTTTAATTATGTGATTCTATCCCGTCTTGTATCTAAACAGGTATCCGATTCTCTTTTGATCCGGTCAAATAATATGGATTAGATATCCTAATTTTCGGATCGGATCAGATCGGATATGGCAAATTTTTGGATTAACAGGTATTTTTGCCCGCCCCTAGTTGCCATGTTCCTCGATGATAACTCAAGATCAAGTCTAGACAGGAATTAGAGTTTATCCCGACCCAATATGTAGTTTATTTAAGAGTTTGAAGTATGCATATTCCACATGAAGTTAACTTTGTAGCAAAAACTTGACGAGAGTGGGGCATGCATATAACAATTTAGCTCATTCTACAGTCAAGTTTTACATTTATAAAATTCTAAAACCCCATACATGATTTTCTACAAGTATACAAGTCGAAATTGAATATAGGATATTAATGGCCGAACCCATAGGAAAGAATGGACAATTACCAGCACTATTAAAACTCATCTATTATTTAAACAATTAACAAATTGAAGGAAATAAAACTGAGCTAGAATGTGCAAGAAAATAGCTATGAAAGCTCTTTAGGCTATGGTATCCCTAACTATTTATGCAAATACAATTTTTGGATCATTGAGTACTACTATCTTGGTTAGTTATGATATAATTTCTTTATGCAGGTAAAACTTACTCCCATAGTAAATCAACTATACCTATAATTAAATCATACCTACTCTCATGGTTATAAAATTAATTGCAAGTTCATTTCCTCCATGAAATTACATGGAACAAGTCACTAAAGTTACAAAGGTGCACCTTTACTCCCGTGAATGAACTCCTTAGATTTAACACTTCTTTAAACTAGTGTCAAATTCTAATTTAACTTTTGGTAGCAAAAATGGCCAATTGTATTTTGACATTTTAGTTGATTAAATTATGAAATGCAAATTTCGTCACTTTGACATTTTTATCTAAACTATTAGGGGTTATATATATCTTTTGAAACCATATGAGGGATTATGTATAAAAGCACTGAACCACAGGGGGCAAAGTGTAATTTGCCCTATATATATATATATATATATATATATATATATATATATTCCCTCTTTTTGAGTAATTTTTTTGAAGCGCCCTGGTCGAATGCCATGTGATGCGTCCATGTAGAATGCCACATGAAGAGTAATTTTTTTTTGGGATTACTTCATACTGCCATGTGAAGCGCCCTGGTAGAATGCCATGTCAGGAGGTTATAAGCATTGACTTTAATCTGAAAATGATTTATACTAATTTAATTTTGTATATTACATATTCATTTAAGATTTAATAAAAAAAATTTCTCAAAAAAAATCTTCCACTAAGAAACAAGTATTCTCAAAAAAAATCTTCCACTAAGAAACAAACATTCGAAGAGAACACAAGAAAAAGGAAAAAACTTAAAAGAATTCAAAATCAATGAAAATTTCAAATAAGTAGTAGCTTTTTTCTGAACATACATATTCCACATTAATTAAACTTTTTTAAAAAAATATATAAAATCATAGCCTCTACAAATAAATTTTATAAACAAACAATAGTCTCCCATTTTTTGTAATGCAATTTGTTTAATGGAATTACTTATTTAGCTCTGAAAATATTATTTTGTAATATGTGTATAAAAATAAAAATAAAAATTATATATGCAAGGCTGGTTGGGTACCTTCAGGTTTTTAATTATGTGATTCTATCCCGTCTTGTATCTAAACAGGTATCTGATTCTCTTTTGATCCGGTCAAATAATATAGATTGGATATCCTAATTTTTGGATCGAATCAGATTGGATATGGTAAATTTTTGGATTAACAGGTTTTTTTGCCCACCCCTAGTTGCCATGTTCCTCGATGATAAC